CCCCAAAACCCCAAAACCCCAAAACCCCAAAACCCCAAAACCCCAAAACCCCAGCATCAATAATTTTGGTTGAATTGTGGTAAAGTAATTTAGAGCAATTGGATCTCTCCTTGACCGAAATATTCCAGCGCTCTTTTCTGACTCATGATTAGTCAGCTCCATCCAAGAAGATGGCAACACCACTGATAATTCTCTCATCTGAACTTCCTGAGTTAGGAACATTCAACTCGCAAAGCAAGTTTTCTCTTAAGATAGAGAAATATACTGGAGTGCTTACTGTTGATCCTTCTGAGTATGGATCTGGATCAGACTTCCTAACCCACGCAATTGTGCATGTTGGAAGTGGAAGGAGCTCCTGTAAATTCTCTGATGACTGATCTTGGATTCTTCCTCCATCAAAGCCAGCTCCTTGTAAGTATAAACCTTCAAGGGCAACTGATATCTTTCCTCCTAATGATTTTCTCTCAAATGTTGAGGATAGCTTCAAATCATCAATTGGACTTCTTAATTCTCTTCCAGATTTCTGTCTCAAAGCATTGAAGAAAGTCTCAGGGTGGAAGAGTTCACTGAGATCTAGACTTGTCTGAAGTAGCTCACCAGATTGTACTCTTTCAACCCAATGCAGCAACCCGCTAGCTTTCTTTTCAAATTTGATCAGCCAATCTTGAGGATTATCTGGACCTTCCCAGAATTTTCACCAAACTTCTGGAACTTCTCTTTTGAGAAGGGATGTTGCTTCACTCTCAATTCTACTAGTCAACATTCCTGTACCCTTAATCACTTTAGCAATTGATGAGAGCGTCTCATTGATCTTCTGTAGTGTTCCAAGCATGCTATATGCTTCCATATAAGTAAAGGCCTCTACAGGGTCTTCTGAATTAAGGTGGCCAGGCTTGATCTTTAGAGCTCTAAAACCATCTGGCTTATAAATACTCTTCCAAAGTTTCAAAATTGGTCCGAGAGCTTTGGCCCACATCTCTCTATCAAATTTAAGATCTTCCTTTCCAACAGCAGTGATTGCCTTCAGCAAGTTGATGTATCTTTGGCTGTTGAATCTCTGAACACTTCTATCAATATTTGGAGGTAGCCCAAACATCATCGGCTTATCGTGATCGCTCAATTGTGCAATATATTGGAAATAATCCTTGATGCTAGCAGCTCTGGGAACTTGTACTATATCTGATAACTTTTTGGATCCTTGGAAGATATCACCATTAAAGAATTGCTTTAAGTAAGTCTTGAGAACTCTCATATCGAATGGATTATCTACTCTGCCTCCATAAATAGCGTTCTCAAGGAGTCCATGAACAATTTCCCATTGTGGAAGCTGGCCTTGGGATGATTCGATGATTTCACTTAGAATAGTCTCTCCTGCTTTCAGATCACCATATGAGAATTCATAGTATTTAGACCATCCTTGTGGAATGTATTTTCTTCTTTCCTGAATCACAGAGTTGAACCAAGCCAAGATGAACAGTATTTGTGATTTCAACAGATTTCCTTCCTCGAATGTTGAAGCCCAAGACTGATAAGTCCTCTGTAAGTTGTTCTTAATACCTGGTGGAGATTCATAAGTGATTGTCAGAGAAGTCTTCAATAAAATAGATGGGAATTTGAGATGTGGCTCTGAAGTTAACCAAAGTCTGAACTTCTTATCAGGCTGTAAGAGCTTGAACTCTTTCTCTAATGTTGCAAGCCAAGGGGTTACAAGATGTAAGTTTTTGAGGCAAAGCCATTCTCCCTTTTCAGCACAGTCCTTCATTATTTCAATAGCGATTTGGTTATCGCCTCCTCCCATTGCGAGTTCATGGTATCCTTGTCTTCCGATTTCCATTGAGGCAAACTCTTGCAACTCATCACTAGGATCAGATCCAGGAGATGTAATGAACAGCACAGGAGTGAAGCAATCAGTATCGTTCTCATAAAGAGACTTGACGGAAAGGGGTGCTGGAGCAATAGTCTTCTTACCTAATGCTTCACATACAAAGTTATTCATAGCAGTCTCTAGTCTATCTGGTCTGAATGTCTTTACCACAAGCAATTTCTGGAAAGCTGAGATTTGAGCAGCAATACTTCCTGGGAACTCTTTCTCACATTCTGCTGAGACAGCAAAGTTGTTCCAAATTCCTTCATTCTCGAATTGGCATGCTCTCACAAGTTTAGGGAATAGACTAGCAAGGCTGCTGAAAATTTGCTTCCTATCAGGAGTGGCCCATCTTGGGAAGGCTTGTGAGGATTCTGATGGTGCTACTATTGATCCAGTGAAGAACTCCCATTCATTCTCTTCAAATAGCTTAGGGAAGATTCCGTTGATAAAGTGAAGTCCGTAAGTTAATCTATCATCTTTGAACAAGGATCTACCAATTTCGAAGAACACTAGTTTCACCAGGGTATCTGAGAGAAGTCTCAATTTTTCATCTGTTGATGAAGCACTTGGCTTTGATTCAAGTGCTTTCTTGAACATGCCAATGAATGCGTGCAGAGAGAACTGATACATGTTGTTAATCTTCATCAAATCCTCTATTACCATGAAAAGATCAGCTCCAACAGCAGCAAATGATCTGTAAATATTTCTTTGAGTGTCTAGTGATTCCTGGAATTTGTGAGACTCAACCAAAGCTTTTTCAATCTCAGCCGCCTGAGCCTTGGTATTATTCAAAGAGTCTACAAGTTGTTTATTTTCCAGAATGTTTCCTGTTGAACTAGCAAGTTCATCTAACAGACTCTTCTGATATTCTGATAGTTTAATCTTGAAATTCTCTTCTTCTTGCAATATTTGTGTCTTCTTCTGCTCTAATTCTGGTTCTTCATTATTGATAGTGATACTTAGCAACTGGCTCTCAAGTCCACTCTTTGTAACAGTGAAATTAACCACAACAACTAATGGTTCAGCATTTGGGGGAATATCTAAGAATGAATCTCTTGTAGTGAAAAATAATCTAAAGGTATCATTGTAATCAACTGTTTTGTCACCACATTGAACAACCCATCTTGGTCCTTGATGAATCAAATCTTTTCTCAATACAGGGAAGAGCATTCTGTCTACGCCATCTACTTCTTCAATGACGACAGTCTTTCCAAATCTGATTGAAATCTCAATCTTTGTGTTATATTTGGGATCGTTTTGAGGTAGGAATTCCACCGCACTTTCCTCATTCTTCAAAGTTTGCTTCAACCATTCTGTAGCTTGTGTAGCAGGATCAAAAATTATTGGGGTCTTTACTGTATTTCTAAGCATAATAGCATTTTCCATCGAAAGTTCATCAGCTGGTAGTCCTTCTGTTTTCCATTTCAGGAGCTGACTCTCAGTGCACATGAATTTGGTAAAGTTGAAGCTGTCATCTCTTAACATTTGCTTCCATTCCTCTAATTTCTTATTTCTGATCTTCTCATCATCCTTTCCAGTGTAAATTATATAAGAAGAGGAAAGAAGACTCTTATAAGGAAGTGAGAGCACGTTATTTTTAATATCTTGCACCTGGATCTCCCATCTATCCTTCTCCCCAGAAAGCTGAATCAATAAGTTCTGAGCACTGTTCAAGGTTTGTTCTGCTTTCTCTAGGTCAACCCTCAGAGCAGCAGCTTCGTTAGTTTTCTCTTTCAGTTCTAGATTAAGTATTTTGCTACTCTCTTCTAATTCTTCGAGTTGAGCTGTACATTCGGCAACTCTGGCTTCTGATTTTCCAAGTTCTCTCATAAGTCCGTTCATTTCCTTCTCAAGTGGCTCGATCTTTAGTAGAACTTCTGAATATTTTACATTAGCTCTTACCCAAGCAGCCAGAGGAGCTGTAGCTCGAGATGCTTTGGCAATTACTACTGGATCAAAGCTGGTCTTCTTTTTCGATATAATCTTGTTCACATGATCTCGGAGATCCTTAGTGATATAATGTGCATCGAAGTTCATAATGCTCTGAATAACTCCTCTTTGTCCTAAGAACTTCTTCATAGCAGCCCATGTAGTCTCTCTAGTGCCCATCAAGAAGAGCACAGCACTTAATACATCATGTACAGCATCTGGGGGTACTTTGAAACTCTTGATTTCCACAAGATTTTCAGGTCTCAAATCTCCGACTTGCTCTCTTGCAGCTTCAACTTCAGGCATAATATCTTTAAGCTCATCATCGATTATGATTTTTCTTTCTTGAATAATATCTTGGTCTTCTATACATTGTCTTTTTAGTCTTTCAGCTTCTTGCTTTCTTTCAGCCTTTTTCTCAAGAGCTATATTGATCTTGTCAAGAGCATGGTCAGCCTCAGCTTGCTTCTCTTTTAGAAGAACTTTCTGGCCCTGAGCTTTAGAAGAAAGCTTATCAACTAAGGCAGCGGCTTCGTGAAGTTTATCAAGACCAGCAATCAGATGCTTTGATTCATCGTCTTGGGAGCTTATTTTGGAGTTCAAGATATGCTTATAGTTGTCTAATAGTTGGAAGAAGTGCAGAGGAGTTGCTCCATGTTCAATGTTGCTCATATGTAATTGCATTAATAGAGATGAAATCTCTTCTTGAGATACTTCAAGGTTACTCATAGCTTCCTTAAGTTCAACTTCGCAAACCATGCTCATTGATCCCTGACTCCAAGCATCACTCCAAATTACATTACATTTAGTAGTCAAAGCTGGATTACTGGAGCAGTTAGACATGAAGTCTGGATGTTTACAGTCAAGGGACAGCACAACCCTTAGGTTCCTGCTTACCCTTGTTACAAAGAGTTCATAGACTGTTCTACATTCATACTCATTTCTCAATTCATCTTGAAGATTTGTAAGAAGAGGGTCTAGTTCTTCAGAAGCAAACAGTCCTGGGATTTCTCCAGCTGAGATAAGACTGTTCAAATATTCATAAAACTCTGGTTCACACATCTGATGGTCTTCAACAAAGAGAACTTGCTTAACTCCTTCTATTCCACTTTGAATCAACAATTGCTTTAGATATTTCTTGAAGTCTGACAAGGTATATTCTCTTGTAACCTTCGGAGTTTCAAATGTCATATCGAGCATATGGGAAATCAGTTGACAGACAGTTCTTCTTCCTGTACCTGATCTTCCTGCTAGGAGGACATGTCCACCATTCTGACTAAGTGATCTCTCAAGTTGAGAGAATTTTTCTAGTAGCTCATCGACCAAAATTAGTTCCAATTCTACAGATTAAGACTAAAAATTTACCTTTGAATTCTCTTTCATAACTCTTAATAGTGTCTTTAATGGTCTGCTCAAGGTCTGGTTTCTCTAGTCTTCCTAAGGTTTTGTATCCTGGGTAAATTGGAGTTACAGTAGAAACCTTACTCAAGAAGGAAAGGCTTCCAATAGTTTGACCATATTTCAAATGATTTCTTAACTGGTTATAAACCAATTGGTCCAAAGCCTGTCTGCTTTCTATATTAACCAATCTATCTCTGAAGAGTCTGAATGCTTCATAAGCCAAGACTTCTACTAAGGCTTCGGCCCCTTGGGCCTCATATCTCATAACTCCCATAATCCATTTAGTAAGTTCCTTTGGAGTGAGAAGATAATGTCTGTGATCGTCAACTGAGAATTTTTGCTTCACATTCTCATAAGTATCAACACAAAATCTTGAGATCTTCTTGCTTGAATTAGTCATAGCGCCACTTCCATAATTTTCATGAGTCAGGATCACCTTTAAGTATAGTGAGTAAATGTCTTCAAGTTCTTCACTAGGAGGATCCTCGATATAAGCAATACACACATTAGCAGTGAATCTACAAGAGAGTTGGTGTCTTCCTACAACAGTAGCAGGAGTCATTGATGCAATGATTTGAATTCTCTCTAAAAACACAAACTCAAGATTTTCATCATAGAATCCGTTATAGCATACAATCTGATGCATGAATGCAATTAGCTGGATAGTGTCATATTTATCAGGCTTTGGTAAGTTGATATCTTTCAAGTAGATAACTAACTTGCTACCCTCCTTTGGTCTGTAAACTCTGCCTTGGGACTTAGAACTCTGTGTACACATCTGATTCAATTTCTGGATAATATGGAATGCAGAGGTCTGAGCATTACAATGGATAGTAGCCACATTCACGGATCTTTGTTGTTTGATGATGTTGTTGATGATTAAACTCTTTCCACAACCTTCTGGCCCAACGACAATGAATGGCTTATCACTATTAAACCATCCTTCAATCATCTTGCAATCTCTTTGAGCACTGATAGTGTCTACTAGTGGAGGCTTATTCTGATTCTTCATTTCTTCAAGAGTAAAAGATTGCTGATTCTTATCGAACATAAAGGATTTGAAGCAGCTTGATTGAGGATCATAATAATTGTTCAAAAGATTTGACATGTCAGCAGGCCTTTCACTTGATAGCTGGAATACTAACTGAGCAAGCTCAGCTCTGTTATTAATTGAAAGATTTCCTCCAAGTCCTCTAATGACTCCATCAACAAAGCCTGCCTTTGTGTCAGTATGAATTAGAGAGCATAGAACATTATAAACAACTCCTACTTTAGTTGTTTCGATTATCCATTTATCTTCATTCTTAAGTACCCAATCAAGAGCCTTATAGAAGATCTCATCCATCCAAGCTTCAATTTTATTTTTCATAGACTCATCTTCAATTTTCTGGAGCCAGGTATGAATCAACCTTCTCACATCAACATCCTCTTCAGAAAGGAAGATCATTCCCATTCTTGATACAGTAGCTGGAGATGCGAATTTCAAATTATCAGATTCAAAAATGAAATTGACATTATCTCCAAACGAAATTCTTTCACCATTAGGAAGAGTCAACAAGTGATTATCATCAAGCACAGAATTAAGCGATTCGATCCATTCTGGATCAATATCTCCATCACAAATAATCCAGCACTTTGTCTCACTAGATTCCTTTACCACTTGTCTTGCAGATGCAGTCAGTACTCCGTCCTTAAACTCTCTCGTATCATGGTCCATCTCGCCCAAAAGCTGCTGTCTGGGCATACTCTTGGGGTTCATCACATTCATATGCATATTAATGCCTAACTTCTCATACGCTTTCTTCAGTACTTTCCATATCGTACTCTTGCCACAGCCTGAAGGTCCTACTATGACTACTCCCATTCTCTGATTAGAAGCTTCATGGAACTGGAGCATTTTCGAAAGTTGCTTCTCGTTCTTCTCAAGGTTAAGTTCTGCTAAAGTTTCGTCAATTGCTTTCTCAAGGTCTTCATACACGATGTCTTCAACGTTGATGCCTGGGAACATATCGTTTAGTAGAAACTCGAACTTTTTGGAGTCCCCGAAGGTCAGTTTGGACATAGTGTTGATCCTGATCGCTTTTATGAGGATCAAAGCCTCTTCGTTAGGGCCTAGTTTGCTGCCCTTGGCTTTTTCTTTTTGGATTAGCTCACCACCGACTGTGAGAATTGTTTTGAGAGCTCTAAGACCCCAATCGTAGTGCTGCTGTGGGGAGAGAAGTTGGCTAGAGAGGGTGAAGAGAGGGATTAGTTTTTGAGAGAGTTGTTTACTACTCTTGAATCCTTCTGCAAATAGTAGTACCTCAGCAATCAACTCATTATCTGGCTTGGACATAGCAACTGGTCTAAATAGCTGTTTCAAATTATCTGGGAGTTTTGATCTTCCTCCATATCCTTTTCCAGCAGGATTCATAGTAACAAAAATTCCTGCGTTCTTATTTACTTCAATAGTCCTATTCAACAGTTCAAGACTTGGTTCTCCTTGCTTAATAGCCCACTGAATGACCTGAATCTGTTGAGAAATAGCGGATAACTGTTCTTCAAGAAGCCTATTGAACTCATCAAAGCAACCCCAGGCTCCACATTTAACTAGCCCAATGAAAATTCTTCCCATTGACTTGAAATCGATTCCTTCATCACAGTTAAATACAAGTACTTGTCTTCCGAATGCTTGCCCAAGGGCTTTAACAGATTCTGTTTTACCAGTTCCTGCAGGTCCATATGGATTACCTCCGTAGCCCATCTTCATTCCTTGGGTCAGAGTCAGGTAGCACTTATCTGTCAGAGGGGTATGAACCAGTTTGGATGCATTTCCTTGGTACTCAAAAGTGTAGTCAAAGATGGCATCTCACATTCCAACAGTTGTGACATCTCTTCTTGCCTCAATTCCATACTTTAGCTGTTTGTACCAACCCCATTGAGAAGTGTTCTTCACGCCACTGTCTATTAAGGTATCAATGACTTCGATATTATGGATTATATCCAGGGTTAAGGCTTTAAGTTTTGATAGAAGAAGCATGTCACCTCCATGGTCGAAGGAAGTGTACATTTCAAGGTTCTTCTGCAAATCAATCTTATAGTTACTCAATTTTCCTTTCTTAATAGCTGAGATAGCATTGTTACTGAAGTGAATCATTTCAGAGAGACAACATACTTGAGAAGGAGTGTTGATAATGTCAAGTCCTGAAGAGTTTAGAGTCGTCTTCAATAGTAAGGATAAGGTCTGCCTCATTTCATTAACCAGATCTCCAAGCCAAATTTCAACATCCTCAGTGATTTGTACTGGAGCTGATAATTCTACGACTTCTCCAGCAGAACTCTTCATTGCAACAATTGCTGAATTGTCTTGATTAAAGTCTACTCTAAAGATTCCTGCAAATAGTTTCTTCAGATGAGTCTGGATAACAACTGGGTTTGTAGCCTGACCAAGTATCTCGAGTAAATCATCATCTCCAATAAAATAGAATCTTGGGAACTTAGATCTCTTCTCTTCTAAGAAATCATTCAAGGCCTTTTGACAGACATCAAGCTGGCTCAAAATAGTATCTAGTGTTTCCTTCAGTCCTGAAATATCACAGAGAGCGATGACTTTAGGATTCATTCCAATTCCCATCATGATAGAGACATATTCACCATCGACTCTATTGAATCTTGCTTGTTCAGCTGGGAGAGCTCCTCTGATAAAGATTGGTTCAAGGTATACCCATTTTCTTTGGATAATATTCAGCTTTTGCAAGTAGTCATCAATACCAATCAGTTTCGATTCAAATTGCTCTACAGAGTCTGCAAATCTTGAGAAGAATCTACTCTCTTTCAAGGAAGCCAGCAAAGATTGGTTATCACTGACTGAGTTCATGAGTTCCTTCCAATCCTTGATCAATGGCACTGTTCTATTGTTAGCTCCTTCATATTCAGTAAGCGCAAATTCAGTTTCATCACACCAAGCTCTTAACTCTTGGATTGCCTCTCTGATAGAGATTTCTCCTTGAGCTCTAGCTCCAAGATCTTTGATATCTGTTTGCTTCTCAACCATTTTCTCAATATGATCCAAGAAATTTCCGAATTTCAGATTTTCAACAGTGACTTCTTTTGGGAAAGTGAGCATATAGAACAAAGCTCTCCAATGTTCCTTCTCGAATGCTTCTCCAACACAGATTTTGAACAATGGCCAGGCTTCTTTAAAGTGTCCAATGGCATCTCTGAGAAGTCTGAGGACAATTGGAGGTCTATCTCCTGGATCCATTGTAGCTCTCTTTGCTTTAATCTTCTCCTCCCATTTATCCATAAAGTCTTGGAATTGATAGATTCCCTTTCCTCTACTGAAAGAAAGCCAGTCTTCTTTACCAAGCTCATCAAGCTCTTTGTAGAATTCTTCATAGAACATCCAGCTCTCTTGTTGTTGAGCAAGATCACTCTTCAGCTCGTCATAATAAGTAAGGTTAGGTTGAGCGATTCCAAAGTGTTGACAATCAGCTGTGATATTCTTAACTTTGGTCTCTAGCTCTTCCCATTTCTCTCTCCATTCTTTCATATTCTCACTAGTCTGCATGGCAGTTTCTCTGTCCATCTCTGCAGTCTCTTTTGGCTTTAAGGCTTCCCATCTAGTGAAGGTTTTTTCGAGCTCCATATTAAGAGCTTGAATTCTCTTATCAGTTTCTTGTTTAAGCACATTCTTTTGTTCATCAATCATAGAGCTGAAAGCATTGAGAGCAACATCAAAGTTGTCCCATCTGTTCTGCATTTCTCCAATGTGAGCTCCTTCTCCTGCTACTTGCTGGAGAACTTTATTCCTCTCGTCACATTGATTGTAGAGTTCGACAAAGGAGTCCTTTTTGCCTGAGATCTCTACAGCTTCTGCCTTAGCTTTTCCAATTTCTTCGACGCTTTGAGGTCTAGCATTCAGTTTCTTCATACTATCATCAATAAATTGATCAATGGATTCCATGTCTGTCCTGATTGCTGACTTGAGTGTAGTCTTCAGAGTGTCATGAGTTCTTTGGAATAAGTCCTCGATACCCTTCTTGAATGGCTCAGTTCTAATGTTGAAGAAGCTATCAATTTTGTAGTGCTCATTCAGCTTCTCTAGTTGTTTCCTCTTTACTCTGAGCATTTTGAAATTGTTTTCCCAGTCTTTAACATCCTTGAAATTTTGTTCGATGTACTGCTCCAAGTCAAAGTAGCCAAGAGCTGTCCAGGGAATGAAAGTGTTTACCATATTCTCCAGCCTTCCAAAGACCTCATTTGCTTTAGCATACACTGACAGCAGACTATCTGAGTTTTTGTTGGGAATCACTTTGAAAATTGATGGTTTCCCGCCCAATCCTGCAAACCTGATAGGAATGGTGATGAAATTTGAAATTTCCTTGTAGTACATAGATTTTAGCTTCTCCATTGGGGGGTTAAACGTCACAGTCTTATCTCTGTAAACTAGATCAGCTTCAATCATGTTGAAGTTCTCATTCAAGTTCTTCAATCCAGTCTGATATTGTGTCTCCAAAGCTTTGTAGAGTTGATAATCTAAATGAATTCTCCATATTTTAGACTCTTTGGGACTGTAACTATTAGAATCCAAGATTCTCTTAATAGAGTCTAGTTTCTCCTTCCAGAGTTCTTTATTCTTTAGCAAATCAGTGTTCATCATATTAAGAATAAGATCGATTACGTTCAAATGCATCTTTCTAAGTCTTCTATTCTCTTTCATCAAGACATTTGAAGCATCTTGAACCTCTTGAATGTACTCCTCAAGCTCCACTGGGTTAGTCCAGGTGACATCTTTGTCTCCACCTCCAAAGGCATTGTTCTTGTCTTTAGATTTATTCTTAATAATCTTTTCAAAAGCAATGGTATGCCTCAGAAGCATTGTAGAGTGGCATTCCATAATCTGTGAGCTCATGTTATTAAAGAAATTGGCAACTTGTCTCAGAGTAACTCCTTCTCTGTAGAACTTTCTCGCGTTCTCAATGATATCATTGAGCTGCTTAGGAATTTTGAAGCCTAGCTCAGTCAATTGTCTAACGTCTTTGATCAGAGTGACAATCTTCTTTTCATTGTATTGGACTTTTAAAAGACCTGTTGTATAGTCGATCTGCATGATTCTTCCAGTGAGCTCTAAGGATTCTCTCTTGTTCTTTAACAAATTTTGGATATCAAGGATCCATTTGTTGAAAGTCCTCTTCTCAAATTCTCTAATGTCAGTAACAAGGTCTCTGCAGGAGTTCTTAAAATCTTCGACTTCATCCAAATCTGAGAAAATTCCTTCAGCGACTTTTTGAATAGAAGTAACCTTGGAGGACATCAGCTGTCTTGCCCAAATAATATCATTCACTACTCTTGACATGTTGTTTACTAGTGGTGGCTTGTCCCCACTTCTGTGATCTGCCTTAGATTCAAAATCTGCAGAAAGGTTTTGAATGTATGAAATCAGTTCAATGAGCAAACTGACTCTTTCTCCTTTCAATTCTTGTTTAATCCTTCCAAGACTGAGAAGACCTTTCCATCTCTGGAACTCTCTAAGTCTCTGGGTTGGTTCGCATTTCTCAGCGAAGATCTCTTTTCTTAATTTTTCACAAAGTTCTCTTTCCTTTGGCGCCAGATTATCTTCATACTTTGAAACAGCTCTGCTCCAAATTTGACTTTGGTACTCATTATGATAGAAACAGTTGATGGATCTGAATGGCTCAAAGACTGACATAACGTCAAGCCCCTTTTGCTCCTCTGGAGATAATAGTCTCATCAACTCATCGTGTTGGGTTCTCAATTTTTGAACCTCGCCTAATCTTTCAATCAATCTTTCAAGGTAAGGATCATAGTAGGCAGGTCCAGTCCATCTATTTGCCTCTTGTTTCCAAATATTTCCTGTCTTAGAGCTCATTTTCTCTCTCCAAGACTTGCAGATATTCATGCATTCAATAATCTTCATTCTAACATCAGAGAATGGGCTAGTCCAGACGTCCAGGTCAGTAAGCTCCTTCTCTATCTTAGCTCCAATACTAGCCGTACAAATCTTTAAGAAATGCTTCATTCTTGGTTCACCGTAATGGGGTTCGATTTCCTGACTCACCCAGATATCATCAATTGTATCCTCAAGTGTATCAAGCAAGTCATTAACTTTGACTAGCTTCATGGAATCAAGGTCATAGAAGTATTTAGCTAGGTCTTTGAAATGAGAGTTCAAATTCTCACCCTTCTGCCTAATTTTCTCCTGAGCGTTAGTTTGAACATTCATTCTTTCTATCTCTGCCCAGAATTCTATCTCGTCAATAGGTGACAGGATTCCTTCTAAGTTTTCTACATCATCTCCAGATCTTCTGCTGACACCTTTTCTGAGGGTGGTAGCCAGTCCAGCCTTAAGTGAGCTCACCAAGCTCTTCATTTGTGGGCTCACCTTTTCAATCTCACTAGATTCCCCTACAAGAAGTGGCTCATACACTGCCTTCATGTACTGATACAAAGATTCAGTAGGGGAGTGTCTCATCGTAGATACCAATAATTGGTTTGAAATATCGCTTGGAGTAATCTCTTCAAGCTGTCTCTTTAAAAAGTGTACATCCTGGAACCCATCTTCAATATTGTTAAATCCGTCTAGGATGAATTTTACCTTCGATCCATTGGTGACGACCTCTAATGAGGTGGAATTCAAGTCATTAAGGAACTCTGATACCTCAGGGGCAGTCACTATATGCTCTTCAAACTTGTTAGTGCCAAAGATAGCACTAACAATGTTAGCAATATAAATAACTCGGGAGTCTGCTTCCATATCTTTAGAACTCTCTCCTAAATTTTATAAAAATTTGAATTTAGATTTCTTTTATCTCGTAGGGAACGATTCAATCTCACCGATTCAAATTGGGGTTTTGGGGTTTTGGGGTTTTGGGG